TGGGGGGCGGCCCCGCCGGGGCTTGCCACGAGCCGACGCGAAATGGCGGCCGCGGGCGACACCTGGCAACTGCCTGGGGCTGCTAAGGGAGTGCGCGCTCCGAGCAGCGCCCGCGGGGAAGCTCCGGCTCCGGGCAGCCGTGCTCCTCCTCACGAGAACTGCCCTTCGTGCCGTTACAAACCTCTGATTTGGAGGGAAGAGTAACAGCAGTAGAAAGGTCGAAAAGAAAACCCCAGGTATCACCAGTTCCTCACCCCTGCCAGAGCCTGAAATGCCGGCAAAGGACATGGAGTATGGAATAGTTCTGTGTTCAATCTACGGACCTCCTCAAGATTTCCATATTTGTTAATTTTCCAGTACTATTTTACACATTTACTTCACAGTGAGACATCAGTACAGTCAAAAGGGCTTCCCGTGAAGATGGCGGAGGGCACTTCTGCACCTGCCTTTGCTGCTGCTCTCATAAAATTCAGTACTGAAATTCACTAGAAAAAATCACTATTGAAAATCACTGAAGAGCCCGCACAACTCCCAAATCTGACATTGCGCTTCACGCCTTCTGTGGCACCAAAAATCTCACATCTTCTAAATAAATTTTTCACTGTACCAGAATGAGAAAATTAGTCTGTATTTATGAAGAAATTAGCTTTCTTCCACACATATGATGGTATCTAGAAGGATGTTGCTATGGAAATAATTAGGGCAAAAGCACAACCTCAGGTGTTTTCAAAGGCTTAATAACTGCATGCACTAATCCTCAAATAATTAGCACAGGAAAATATTTTCAATTAAATTCCCTTCAGACAACATCAGTTATTCGTAGTATATGATATTTCAGTGTGTAGTCAACAAGCTGTTAACATGAATGCTTTTGGCTACGCATTTCTACAAAGCTATACCAACTACACATGCATTTGTAATCTAGATTTGTTTATTTGCAAGCATTTTAGCTGGTAATTTCATTATGCATTTTCCCTTGTCTGGTATGTGATACACAAAACATGCTCACTCAGAATTAATTGGCTGAGTTCCTTTTATTAATAACTACTACAAATCCTGGTTTGCAGTACAAATACCATCAAGTATAAAACTTCTTCAGTTATTGCAGAGAAATTCAAGCTTCCAAATTACTGTGTTTCAGTAGCGTTTTCAGTTCCGACACCCAATCTGGGTCATCTTCCTCATCAAAGTCCCTAAAGAGAGATTTCAAAATGTTATTTTGCAAAGCGAAATGATGCAAATTTATAAATCTTTATTTTTTTTCCCAACATTACCCTATAAATAGGAGAAATCATGTTAAAATGTCACCATTGAGATTTATTCCCTGCACCATTCTTACTGGGTTGAACCAACAACAGCGCAATTTACCCAAACTAAGTTTGTCAAAAGACAAATGCCTATCTTATGATTTCATGCATGTGTTGATCATAATGACTTGCAGTTGAGCTGCTGTAATACATGCCTAAGACTTTCTTCTCAAGGATGATAAATGAAAAAGAACAATGTAAACTGAGATTCAAATCACCGCTCCAAAACATGCACATATCTATAAAATAAAATATTTATGTTCAGAATTTGTCAAGGTACACCTTCCTTTCCTAATAACAGAAAAAGAAAAACAAATCACTAACATGAAAAACACAAGAGAGAAGTTTAAAATTTTCTACAAATATATCTCTTAAGTTGCTACAAAAACAATTTTATTGCACTGAGTATGAAAGGTACGGAGCATAATTCACAAACACAGCAAGTACGTCACTAGTGAACGGTTTCCCTGGTGGTATGTGATTTCAAAATCAGAGTACAATGATGTTTCATGCCAAAAAGAAGCTTGCACTCTACTGTAGATCTAATCTCCTGTCTTTATTTTTCCGAACAAAAACAGCAAAAACAGTATGCTTACTTATCTGTTTAATCTTGACATCATTAATAACCATAAATACACCAAAGAACGTAAGTGCTGCTATACTTTAATACAAATTAATAATCAGTTCGAGTATCAGGCAAAAGCAGGATGAATTTAGAAGCTGAGAAAAATACTATTTGTTTCCCAGAGGATTTTTTGGGGGTAAAAAATCACTTCAAAGAAAACAAATCAAAAAAATCACAATCAAAGAAAACAAAAATAGAAGGATGCTATTTGGACATACGTGTCATCTTCATCACTTTCAGGCTCAAGTCTCTCCAAATCAGTGATAATAGCTTCAAGTTCACCATCTACTTCATCGGATGCTTCAGTTCCATCACAAAGTGGCCCTTTTAATATATTTCCAGAAGCTTTGAAAGCATTAAAAAAGATAACAAAAAACATATTAAAATATAAATACAATATAGTCTTCCTAATGCATCTACATTTTTTCTCAGATTCTAGTCCAAGGTGTTGCTTAAATGAGGAGATAAGCTAACAGAGTCACCGAAGTGCAGACTACTATGTGTGAATGTGGCCAGACATATTTAGAGTCTACAGCGGGAGCTAAATAAAGCAGTTCTGACAGAAATTACCTTTTGTACCAAACTTTGGTACCACTCTGCCTACTCACAGGCACCCTGGCACTTTGCTGGGTGGAGACCGCCTGGCTCTGCAGCCTCTGAGTTTATGGCATAGCCTCATTTAGGTACTGAGCTGTAAGTGAAAGTACTTCTTAAAGAGATGTAATGAGGAGGTACAATTACCCATAAGCTCTCAGTTTGCTTTTTATTAAGTTCATATTTCATTTGGTATGCATTAAAATCAGTCCATTGTGGCATGAAAGCAAATGCATAATCTCTCTATACATAGGGGCTATGTAAAAGAGAAAAAATCGTTATGAATACACTTGTTTTCAAAGAAGTTTGTCTGAGAACTGGGTATTTACCTGGTTTATAAATCGTGTATGTTTTAAATGCTAAGCTGACATCTGCATTACTGAGAATGTTCATTAGGGTCTGAGGAGTTTCCTTGTTCCACTGCTTACGTGGTTTATTTTCACTGTAGTTTGTAACGCAGCCACCTAGGTATAAAATCATTAGTAAATATTTAGAAAATGATGTTAACTGCATGGATTACAGGGATGACACTTAAGAGAAAAATGCAGGAAGGAAGAGACTGGATGTTTCTGCAGCACTGCTGCCCTCTCTCAACACACTGAGATTGACAATATCAGCGTTATAAGGAAAAAAAGAAGCAGAAGGAAGCAATGGAGCCCTCTCTTATCAGGGAGCCAGCAGAAAACAAGACATAATGTCATAATGACTCAGACTGTTTATATCCTTAACCAGTGCCTCTTCCAGGGCCTCACAAAATGGAGCCCATGGACGTGACATTTCTATTCCTATTAGTAGGAGAACAACTAAATATGCATTTTTTGCATCTTTTCCCACTGTCCTATGTAGTATATCATGTAATATTCCACCACAGCTTGGGAGTATTTTTATATTCTTAAAATAAATAATCATATTTATTTCAACAGCATGTATTTACATTTACATGGAGTACATACCAATATTTGCAAGAAATAATTTTAATAATAACATATGGTGTGGGGGCAGTGAAAATTAGCACATTTTTCAAAATAACCCCCACGTTAAGCCCTCTTGGTAAAAGCAGTTGACACAGAAGAAGGAAGAGTGTCCCACCTGTGAGCTATGTCATTAATAGTTCCTGTCTCTGTGATTTGTGCATTATCTGTGTGTTAAGTAATAGCAGAAGTAGAGGTACAAATATTAGATGCTCCCAATAGCACGTTGTACTTGGAAGACAGACAGCTCCTTTCTGTATCAAACGAACCTTATGCAATATCCAACACGGCACCCCAATGAACCTTACGTTAAGAGGGGGTGGCAGTATAATAAATGAATTTTGGGGTTTCTACTGCTAATTATGCAGCTTTTATGACTCCTTGCAATCCTCCTGTCACACATTTGAGACTTCAACAGTTTCTTAGAGGTCTTGCATCTTTCTTCATCAGCACTGTGGACTTTTTAAGTGTTTACCAATAGAAAATCTTTAAATAATTTTTACATTTTTGTTAGTATCTTGCCTAAAATGCTAGCTTTTAAAATCTGTAAAGCAGCATCCATATTATTTGAATTAAAAATGTCTGAAAAGACATTTAATTTGAACTTACCTTTACTCTCTTCAGACGTAAAACTGGATGTAAAACTGGATGAAAGCAAAGATGTTTTCTCCAGGACATCCACTACAGTATTGGATATCTTTTTCTCCCATTGCCTCCTGAGAGGATGTGACAAATCAGTAATTCCTGGGGGCTCTTCAGAAGTTTCTGCTTAATGGCAACAAAAAGATGATGATAACCAGCATCTAACTCATTTCTCTGTCCTTGCAAAGCAGTACTAGGCATACAGTACTTATATTAACAGTGATATTTAGTTCTATCAGTTCAAGCCTGAATTTGATTTAAAAAAATGTAAAAAGGGCCCATACATTAACTCTATACCAAATATTTTTTTAAAAAATCATTTTTCATACTTTGGACTTTTTTAAAGTTAATTTCGGATGAAATTAAATCTGTAATTCCAGACACACAGTGTCATGATGTTCTACTGATGCAGACTTGTATGCTCTACTTGCTTATGTTAAAATGTGGTTAGATCACTATTACTACATGAAGGTAAATTTGTAAGTCTTGAAAATACGCAAAACTTACCCTCGTCACAAGATTTCCCTCGCTCATGTGGGTTTTCATTCAAATCCTTGGCGATATTTTCCTGTTGCAAGGGGCTACTTTTGCTACTAGGTTCTTTACTTTGCTTTAAAAGAATGAAAACCACATTATTTGTTCACTTTGTTGTCCAAAAAACAATATTTAATATTCACATGGCTTATTTTAGTTTTGCTATCAAATGGCTGGCCTGATGATCTGAAAACTAAACTGCTGACACCATGAAGGCAATTGGACTGCATCTAAGCACAAATCACAGAATCACAGAAGGGTTGAGGTTGGAAGGGACCTCTAGAGATCTTATAGTCCAACCCCCTGCTCCAGCAGGGACACCTAGAGCACGTGGCACAGGGTGGCATCCAGGTGGGTTTGGAAGATCTCCAGAGAAGGAGACTCCACAACCTCTCTGGGCAGCCTGTTCCAGGGCTCTGTCACCCTCACAGGAAAGAAGTTCTTCCTCACATGGAGGTGGAACGTCCTGTGTTTCAATTTGTACCCATCACTCCTTGTCCTGTCACTGGCCACCACCGAGAAGAGTTTGGCCACATCCTCCCTACATTCACCTGTCTGGTACTTGTACATGTTGATCAGATCCCCCCTCAGTCTTCTCTTCTCCAGGCTTAACAGGCCCAGCTCACTTAGTCTTTCCTCGTATGATAGATGATCCAGTCATGCAATTTGTGGGTTTATATTTTATATTCAAAAACAATAGCAATAAATCAGATTCCCAGAGAAAACAAGATGCATCCAAATATTAAGCTTCTTGGATTGACAGATCTACTAAAACAGAAAGAAAATGAGCCTTATTGGCAACTCGTTTTGAAAAATATAGTCAATATGGCTGAGACAGGCTGTGCTATGATGGACCCAGAAGTCATTTCTTGGTCACTTGTTACTTAATTCTGCTCATCTGAAATCTCACATGGGCAGTAAACCCAAGTGAGAATTATATCCAGACTAGACTCGTTCTACAGCAGCCTGTTCAAAATGTGTCCTCAAGCAAAGGAAAGGCCTCATTTTAAGCAGCATCCCAAAACTTAGAAACACAGGACAGATTTTTTTGTTTGTTTGTTTGTTTGTTTTTGGTCAGGGCTATGAACCAGTCCACTTCGGAACTGAAATAAATGTGGAAAACACCAGCCTGTAAAACATCAATATGTTACAAATGTATGAAATTAAAACTGCACAGGAAAGCACTGAAACACCGATGACACCTGTCCTAGTAGGCTTATCTGTGGCTTAACAAATAAAAGCAGTTTTCAAAATTAAATTTTTCTAACAGAGAACTTTTCCAATTTGCTAAACATGTCATGACCCTATTTATACTCAAATACTTACCCTATTTATTTTCTTGCTGTTTAAGCTTTCACCAGCTGTAGTGTTACCTGGCAAGTTAAGGGACAGAATCAACAGTTAAATTAACATTTTTGGAACCGTGTGGTAAAGTGCTATTCCAGGGATTGACAGTGATGCCACTGAACCAGGCAATGACAGAAAATTACGTGAAGCTTCTTCAGACTTCTGCCCACCTATCTCACTGAAGAGTGCAATGAGAATGAGAATTCACTCTTCGAGCCCTTCTACAGTAAAGTAGAATCTGCTTGTGCTACAGATGTGTACAGATTGTGGTATCTGTAGTTTGGGACAGGAAAAAATACTACACCCTCTTTCAAAACTGAATACTAATGAAAATAATTTACTTTATCATACTCTGAGAAATAAATCACTTCCATATTTAACACACACAACAGCTAGCCATTTTCCTCTTTTTTGGAATTTATCTGGTTTATTTCTACCACAAATCTAAAAATCAGACTTTCAACATACATAACACTGTTCAGCTATGCCCATATTTCCAAAGGACAGCACTCAGCTATGCCCAGGTCAAATGCCTTCTAATATAAAGCCTGCTATTGGAATATAGTTTGCACACACTTCAAGTATTTTCCACAGAAGTTCAATGAGATTAGATTGTGAGTTAATCAAAAATCTATGTGAACATGTTAAATTGATGTTCTGTAACTGCATTTAGGATCTTACAATACCCATTCATTTGGTTATTCCTTACTGCTATAACAAAAGAAAAAAAAAAAAAGGAGGGCTTTTGAATTACCTTTCGGTCTTGCTGCACTGCCTTCATGTTTCCTGGTTTCCTCTAACGTTTGTTCTAGTGCAGATGTCATCTGGAATGAGTACAAAGAGATGCTAGTACTGCACTATAGTGGCAGTACTGTTAGTACTCCCACATTATTGTGTATGCTATTTCTTAAAAATAGCCTTCATGTATCAAAACACTTCTACAGCCAAGATTATCTCCTAATCTTAACTGAACCATGTTAATACTAAACGTTACTTTTTAAAACACCCTTCTAAAAACTCACTTTCCTGCAAAATCTGCAAATATATTTGTGTCTTTTCAAGTTGGATCTGCGCAGCACTACATTTTATATTATTCTACACTGACAACTTGACCTAAAGGAAACAGAATTAGTAATTAAGATGTACAATCTATTGCTTAAACACAAAAAAATTACTGCACCTCAGAAGGCAGACAATTTTTCATAAGCTTGGTTAAGCAACTTCTTTCAAGAATAGTAGTGGCTGATGGACGGTTCTTGGGATTTCTCTTAAACATCTGCTTTATTAAGTAATGAAGCTCATAGGAATAGTGAGAGGGCAGTGGGATGTAGGATCCTTTGCATATCTTAAGGATGAGATGTTTCCAGCTATTGGCTTGAAACTGCATTGAAAATAAATGAACATACAGAACATAGTGTTAGTGTTTTAGTATAAGATGAAAAGAAGTTGGTATTAACTGAACAGCAACTTTAATTTAGGTGTAATGGTTTAAGTTGTTATTTTTCTCAGCTAATTGTTATGAGTCTTCAGTTAGAAATTACAGTTTTTAGGCACAGGTGACCTGGTGACTTCAAAATGAGCTGGGACAGCTAAAACTGTGGGTGGCAACAACCTGGGCTAAAATGGCTGAACTTCCACTTGCACCCAGAAGTGTGTGGAACTCCGTTCCTGGTGTGCAACCCATTGGGGTGCAAGATGCGGGATCCTTTTGCTTCACTTCTGACAGGTAAGGCAAGAAAAAATGGGACCACCGCATAAAGGGAGAATAAAACCTAGGTACATGACATTTTGCTGCTCTTAAAAAAAAGGAAGGCGATTCTGATGCTTGATACATCAACAATAAGCACAGTTTAAATAGCAGTATCACTGCAGAGCCTTGCCACAAACTTATTCAGGCCAGCACAGGCTCACCATCAGCCTTAGCACGGGCCCAAGGACAGGCTTCCTCGCCGTGTGTGCACATCATAAACTTGTAAACTCTTGTTTTGCTAGTAGTTACAGCTACAGAAAATCTTTTGCTGATACACAGCATTTCAAGGTATATTACCAGCTTTCTGAAATGAAACTGCTGCTGACAAGAAACAAAGGCAAGATGCCTTGAAATTAGGATGATCACATTGTCTTGTCAAATCAATATAAGCCTGTAAGGCCTACCAAGTGCTAGCCATGTACTGGCATGCAGAAGCGTCAGCACAATAAAAGACAGTGGCCCTAGAGAGAAACATTCCCCGAGATCCCGTCTGCCCGCTAGAGAGGCCAGTGCTTTGAGAGTGACTTCATCTACTTGTATGTATAAGCAAGCAGGTTTAGCAGTCACTGATGTGAGGAACCAAGCTTGCTCATAGTTTTCTGAGTTTAGCTACACTTGCATGCAACAAAGGCTCATTAGTAAAGATTTTATGCATCTTTTCCTCTGTCTTTTGCAATCATCTTGATCCTATAAAGCAACAGCGCTCTTTGCAACATCCCTGCAGAAACTTGGAACCAGACTGGAAGCTACTTGGCTCCTTAATAAGGCCCAGTTCACTTCACTGATATTGAAGAAAATCAATCAATCATTCAAGAAAAAAAAAAGCACGGAATAGAGGTGGGGTGGAAAAAGGGAACAATCCTTTCTGCTTTCAACGACAGCAGCAAATATACCTGCCAAATACACAGTTGTGAATCCACCAAAATATAGCCAACTGCTACTTAATTTTTAAGGAAGTTCAAAACTTCTCTGGTAACAATAAGCCATACTTACTGGATGTCTAAGAGTGCACAGCTCATATAAAATGCATCCCAGAGACCATATATCACTGTAAGAATAACAAAAGATGAGAAATTTGAGCCAAAGATTACATTTTAACATGCTGCCTAGCAAAAGTTAAAATCACTACCCACGTGCTAAGCTAATTGAATTAAATATGCTAAAATAAAGGTGAATCATCATAAAAGACAATATAATTATGTGTTTTGTTTCTCCAGTGAAACGAATCTTGTTACCTTTGCTCTGTTCCCTCCTAGGAAAAATAAGTCACTTTATAAATCAGACTCAGGTACAACCAGGATCAAGGAACAGGTTTGTAAGAGGAAATATAAAATAGTTTAGTATTTTGGCATCTGGGAAAAGACCTGTAAATACCATATTAACATGATGCTATTATTATGATTCTTGTATGCAGACCAAAATGTCTCTGTAAACTTAAGAGAATTATCAATTCCGTAGCCATTCTATAATGAGGAAATGCAGGAGTAGCTTAACAAATAAGAGCAGATAAAACACACACACATATACATACACATGTATCTACATTATCTACACCTATACATTACATATATTTACTCCCAGAAATTGTGTGAGAATACTCACAGTGATTGAAATCACAGAAAGCAGTGATTTGAGTTTGTAAGACTTCAGATACTGCATTTTCAGTTACTCAGGCGAAGAGGAATTTAGTTCTTTGCATGTAAAAACCTGACGTTACCCATTCCAAATATTCCTGAAGCCAAGACCTTCTCCAAAGCAAACATACAGCAGCCACAAAGGCAGATTTGCACAACAGCAGAGACATGCATCACCCGTGAGCACGGGAAGCAGGAGTACCTCTTGTTGTTGTAGGGCAAGCTTTCCCACACTTCTGGAGGCACATAGTAAGGAGTCCCCACATAGCTGCAAGCATATGACACTGGACTATCAAAACGACAGAGAAAAACACATAAAAAACAATGTTTTAAAGACATCTGTACTATTTACCAACAGTAGAAAAAAAAATATACAAATTCTACAAATTCTACTTGTTTCTTACACTACTTTTACAAAAGAAGTTAAGAATTACCATTTTGCTTGAGGGAAATATAAAGGTTACCTGGCTAGCCTAAAGTCCAACCATAAGTAGCAGAGGAACCAGAGCTCAGAAATGCCTTAATCTCAGTGCTACACTCAAAGCACTATGGCCCCACTTTCCTCTGAACTTTTACAATAAAAAAGGAGAGGCAAGATATCTACAAATTGCAGACTCCTTAACAACTGTTTTCTTCATGCTTCTTTCATTGTATTAAATGATTTGCAGCCTGTCAAAAACAAATGGTGCCATCAGCAGTATGGGAAGCACATACAGACATGAGAAACTCATCTATAGTTAGATTTTTCAGCTCCAAATGTTAGGTCATCCTATACACTCACCCTTTTCAGGTGTCTAATATCCTTAAACTCAAATGAAAAATGCAGCATGCAGAAGTAACAGGATATTATGAAATGGGACAAAGAACTGCAGGCAGAAGAGGATTTACAAAAGGCAATGAAGTTTTAACACTGACACTCACTTTAGACTTGATATCCCTGTGCAACACACGTTTATCATGAATATGCTTCACACCCAGGCACATTTGTACAAACCAGTGAAGGATCTGAAATGAGCAAACATAGGCTATAACAGCTCAATATGTAATGAATATTTCACTAATGGAATAAAACAAACCAACAATAAAAAAAACTTTAAGAGAGAAAAAAAAATGTTCACAATATCTGGGAGCTTTAAATAACTCAGGAAAAATAGCCTCCAGTCAGCATGAAAGATTAAGCTCTTTAAGCTAAGGTCTATTTTCGCACTATGTGAAGAAAGTCTGCTACTATTAGTAGCTATTTAACAATTAAAGAATGAAACTAAAGAGTCAGTAGAGGACACTTTATCTGATGGTCACTTTATAAGCATGACAACTACAATTTCATGGTTAATTAGCAGATCTTTTAAATCAGCATTGAGTTTCTGGTTTCGAGAAGGAAAAATATTCTCTTTAAATGTACAAAATACAGTTCTCAGATGCTTGGCTAGTCTAACTACCAGATTAGGTTACCAGATTAACTAAAATGATGTTTCTAGATATAGCAGGAAGTTGTTTTCAATCACTGCAGTGTAACTTTGGACCTTTTCATCAGTCATTTTATAGCTTCTGTGATAGAAGGTAAGGCATGTTGGATCCTTTGAATGTTTAATTGCTATATAACATGCAGACATTTAGTCCCTGGCCACTTTCCCTTATCTTAAAGTGCTTTATTTACTATTCATCTGCAGTACCTTGTATTGGTACTGACAGAGTTTGGGGTTAAATTTGACAGTTTGGGGTGAAATTCTTCCCTTAACCGCAAACATTTATGCATGCAAACTCAACCTTGTTTCTCATACAGTCTGCATATCTCCTAGATGCAGACAGCAGGTTCTTGTTTATTCCTTTCTAATTCTTATCTTGTTTTTGTTCTGCAGAAAATTATCACATCCTTATATTCTAACTATTGTTTTCATTTAAAATATTCACCTTAAAGCTTTTGCATACTCACAATTTGTTTTATGTGATAAAGGATGTTTCAGTTTACATGAAAAAGGGCTCTTAGGCTGCTGGTTCAAAATTATGTCTTTTCTTACCGTATCTTCAGAGAACAGCTTTCCTCTTTGATGCTTAATCTTCTGCATTAGATCTCCATCATCACAATATTCCATCACTATATAAAGATGTCCATCAGCTAAATCGTAAGTAATTTAAGAATAGTCATTTCAGTAAAACGAAAAGTGTATTACTGTTATTATCATCTCCAACTACATGCCATGTACATTATAAAATTTAATCCCAATCCTTCAGCAATATGCAAGTTCAACTATAAACTTTGTATAGCCAATATATGTATGTGGTTATGTTTACCTTCAAACGATTCTTTAAAAGCAACAATATTGGGATGTTTCATTTTAGCCAACAGAACAGCTTCCTTCCTGGAGTTCTCTACATTGGATGACAACTGAAAATATAAGGTCATTTATATAAATGTTGCACTAATGTTTTCATAAATACACATTACACACCTCATTTCCAAAAGAAAAGTGTTTTTAAGAATTGGACTCCAGCTTATTTTCCTTAGTCATTTTCTGAAATAATTTTAATTCAAAGCCTGAAAACTCCATCTTTTTTCCTATACGGTTTATTACTAGTTTAAGACTTCTTGCCTTACTGTTGTAATTGGGAGAACATTTCACTGCTTCAGTCAATGCTCTTCTATTTCAGCCAGGCGAACCTGTGCAACAAAGCAGCAGTTTGGACTGCTGTATACGGTATTTAAATATCCTGCTTTGGCACTTAAACATTAGGTGACTTTGGCACACTTAGCAGTTTACATGGCATAAACTGAGTATAATGCCAAATGCATGGATGCTAACTTCAGCCTGGACAGAGCAAGAGCCTCGCATTTAGTACTTTCTTTCTTAGCTAAATAGAGAGCAGGTAACTGGATGGCTTCGTATTACTGCTGCTGAAAACCAGGTATTTCCTCATTAGGCACTGCAGATAAAATCCTTGTTCTGGTAAAGCCAATGGGAAACCAATCAATGACATGGAGGAACAAGGATCTCATTTGGTCCCTTCTCCTATATGCTACACTTCCTAAAATGTATCTACCAACTTTGTGAAACAGATCAGACTTTAATACTGTATTTGCTATCAAAGCCATCAACTCAGACAGGTATATAACAGCCATATCTTGCAAATGTCTAAAACACATAACTCCCAGCACAGACATGCCGTGTTTTGGAAATATATCCACAATTATGTTTTGTTTTGAAGTGGGTTGTATGTGAGATGCAAATGTAACACTTACCACTGGAAGTCTTATTTCCTTCATTGCGTACTTTTGATTACTGCTTGCATGATGAACTAGGAGAGCTCTCCCAAACGATCCCTCTCCCAGTACTTTCAGCACTTTGTACTCTTCCATTCTTTGTAAGCCAAGATCCAACACTTCTCTGCAAATGCTCTCTTTCACAGGAGAAACTTCTAAACCTCCTCATGACCATGATTCAGTTTTTAAAAACATGTTGGACACTTCTATATTATCTGCATGAGAAAATGCATGCAAAATAATGAGAATGGATGACAAATATGATATATGGGTATCCACAATTGTTCAGTTTTACCATAAGTACGAATTTTGATCACTGTCATCATGACTTTACTGCATATAAAACCTTCAGAAAGTCCAATTTAACATAGTGCATGTCCATGATCTTTTATCTAGAATTTTCAAAGCTCTTTGAAAATATAATAGCCCTGCAGCACACGGGGTCTCTTTTTATTTTCAATTACCTGCACTTCTGCAGATGGCTTCATAATTCTAACAGTCATAACCAAAATGATAAACGGCAGTAAGCTTCAAGCTGTTTAAGGCAACTCCCCTGCAGAACAGTATAAGCAGAACAAAACAGGATTCTGTAGGATGGGGAAACATTATTGATGCTCATGTAAAAAGTTCTCAGTGACTACCAGCTTTCCAGACTACGCATTCCCTTTAAACCATCAACACTTTTAAGCTAAGTCACCAGCAGTTCCACCGGTAACTTAGACGCATGGATATGCATGCACAGCACTTGAGCACACTGATGAAGTCTGTTCAAGAGGGCGCACCCGAGGGCTCGGCCCTCAAACGCTAATCATTTCACTCACACCTTAAGGTATGTATCTATAATATGCCTAGGCTGATTTAAGCACACGTGAAAAACAAACAAACAAAGCCAGGGGGATGATAAAGCCACACAGCTCAACCCACTCCGATATTTTGCGGATTTCTTTGGCTTTTCCTCTCCCACCCCCTTCGCTCCCGGCGCATGGAAGCGCGGCGCAGCGCGGGCCGTGCCCGGAGGAAGCCCCACGGAGCCCCGGGGCAGGGGCCGCGGGGACGCCTCGGGGACGGCGACAGTGTGGGGGTGGCGAGTACAGCACTACCACCCCTGTAACACCACAGCTTGCACGGGGAGTAAGAGCCACGGGAGACCAAAAATGAGCAACGGTTCAGCTTTATTAATGCACACGAGCTAATCTTCACCCACCACAATAAACATAACACACCCAACTTTCCTTTGGAGTTGAAAAATTTCATGGCATTCTGCATGTGTCTGCTCACTTCCAATAAAGCAACTACCTTGGGCCCTGTAACCACTTTGCAATTGCAATTTCCAGCCTAAACCCATAAATAAAGAACAAATACAGGTCCATTCAATCAAACCTACCATATTACAGACTAACACAAAAACACAGTATTGGAATAGTAACATAGTAATTAGTGTATGAGAGTTTACCTAAGGTAAATTAGTTAATAGTCCCAGTAATTGAAGGGATTAAAGTCAGTTTATTGAAATAATCTCTAAAATGGATACTATGGATATTGTTTAGATTAGTTCCACTCATTACTAGCTGGTTTCAATTTTTAAAAGCTAAAAGGGGCTAGAGTAGGTATTTCCCTAGCAGGACACTTAAGGCATTGCCAGCAGTACATTACAACTGCAAAACTACTACATGTAGTATGTTAAACAGCCTTAATTGACTATTTAGGATGAATCATTTAACATGAAGACACTGATGTTTAAGTACTAAAGGAGACCCATTTTACTACAGGAGTCTGGGAGCATACACAAGTTTACAAATTTAAAAGTTTAGTGACAAAAAGCAGTCAAATTTGATCTTTAAGTCATCCTTGCAAGTTTTGGGTAGCATCTCAAATTTGTTAAAAAGCAAACCTCTTTAAAAAGGATCCAATAGCTCCTCCCCCCAGTTATTACTATTTTACTCCTCAACATCAGCACTTGTTTCTTCAAGTGTACTGTTCTGCTTGGAGATACATGCAGTGGGTTTTGATCCCAGTTCCCCCAGCTGTTCAAGTGAAGGGGCACAGAGATTGTGATCCTTGTCTGGCAACTTGCACATCTTCTCCCGTAGACGTTGAGAATATCGTAAAGGGGTTGCAATTTTCAGGTCTTTAGCACTGGAGTCATTTGCCTCATGGCGCATCTTCACACTTGGAAAAGAAAAAAATATTATATTAAACATAGTTACCTAATTATAAATATTAACTATGCAGTATCTAGTAGGAGTAGCAAGTCATGACTCCCTCAGTCCTCAGTTATGACCTTCACATTTCCATAGCAAGAGGAAACAAACAGGCCCTTCCCCTTCATATTTACAACTGGAAAACCATGGATTTTTTGTGCAACTCTTCCCTGGGCAAAATATTTTAATTTGGTGGCAATAAAGAATGTGTTATTTCTTTTGTTCCAGAATTACCATCTAGATTTTTGCCTCAAGATACAATCAAGGTTATTGTCAAGAGGATATCTTGTTCACTTTCCTTCTAATTTATGACTGCAACCACATTTATGTTTGAGAAAGGAAATAGCTGGGGAAAGTCTATTTTCCCTTTACCCAGGCCAGGGTGGAAATGCACATGGGATTTGGAAAGGAGGATCCTGAATTCATGCCTTTACTATATAAAGGCATTCAGTTACTCAGTAGTTAGGGATTTGACAAACAAAACAGTCCTTTTGAACTTAAGGCCTCAATTGTCAAAGCTAGGTCTGTTAAAAAAAAATAAAAAAAATGCACTGAAAAGTAGAAAGGGCAGGAAAAAAAAAGAGTTCTTAAAACCCAGATACTGCAAGATTTCCATAGTAATCTCAAATAACCTTACCTTTCTAAGTATGGAGTTGTAGGTTGATTGTATTTCATTAAGTAAAATGCATCATTTTCCTTGCCAGGAGAATTAAGTGCTTGCATCTCATCTTTTACCCTGTCTTCACTCTGCTCTTCTGCTTCCCATTTTCCTGACTTCTTTGTACGATCTTTTGTTTTGTGCTTTTTATTCTTTTTTGGCAAGATCTCCTTTCTTGTCTTCAAGTCTAAATCCATTTCTTCATTTTTGATCACTTCATTGCTAGTCTCTGCCTTCCTATCTCCCTCTGTTTTCTGGTCCTCATTTGAGTTGAGCTCCTTTAAGACCTCCTGAACTTGCTCTGCAGATGAGCTGGCTTCCTTGCTGACTTCTGCCACCTCCCTTAAATGAGCTTCTATCACAGCTCCCCCTAAAATTAAAACATGGGAAGTACAGCTGTATTAGTTGCAAACAAAAGGAGAAGTTGATCACCATGTGGTACAAGGGCTCAATAAGTATTTTAATCTTCTTAGGGATATCTCCGAAAGATTTTGCCAGGTTTTCATTATAAAATACGCTGTATTGAACAGGTATATGGCCACTTTGTTTCCAAAACTGCTTTTAATATTGGGACATCTTAAACACCTAAGACAACTCATTTTTAGCTCTCACAGCTTAAAGAAGCTGATCAACATTCATCTGATAGAGCTTCAGTGAGAAATCTCAACATGAAGACATGTCCACCACTAGCTACTACCCATGTTAACATTTCTACAATTGAAAAGGATTTATCAATATTAATTTCAAATAACTGAAAATACAACATCATCACAGGGAAAGTTGCCATAAAATAAAATCTTATATACACACAAATAGTCTGAACAGCTTATTCATGCTGCCCATCAAGTCAAAGTACCCAAACTTACCATCCTCAGACTTCAACAGGTTTTCAGTATTTTTCATAACATCTATCAGTGAGCACCGTAGTTCATCTTTTGGCTAAAAGAAAGTTTGTTACTGTTATAGAAAAACAACCTCAAAGTTAATTTCAGCTCTTTGGTATAGCAGTTACATGGAAAGTGGTGCAGATCACAATGTTCATGTTAAAAATCCTTCACTGCCGTTGGAATATAAATCCGAATACTTAAGTGAATCCTGCTACATGGCAAATCTATGTTTGATACACTAAAATCTTGCTGATAATTAAAGCACAGGAATTAAGTCCACTATTAAATGTAAAATAAATTTGGGGGGGAGAGCAGGGAGGGATTATTCAAAAGTTTCAGTCCTCGATTTCTGCTTAGTAGAAAGTATCTAATGGTATTTTTATGACCTTAAAACCTTTCTCCTCAAAAAAAAAAACCACACATGCACTGTGGAGGTTAGAGGAAATGCCAGTTTTTGCTTAAGTAGCACAGATGGCTATCCTATTATTAAAAATATTTTTAAATAGTAGTTTTATAGGCTATACTTTTCATGCCTTTAAATTAATTTGTCTTACAAACAAGTTTTCTTACCATTGCTCCTGCCAAAATGGCTTCCTCATAGACCTCAATGAGCTTTTCAATAGGGCCCATCTGTTCAAGACGCATACAGCAGATCCAGTATTTTGCAAGTTTTTTAGCCCCAGGAATATTCTTTATCAGGTCTTCCAACATGGCATCTACTTCATCCCTTTGACATCCCTAAAGTGTACAGGAGAGGAGAGATTTAGCTGAAGTGAACATTCAGAAGCAGTATATTTTAGGTGGGTTTGACCAAAAATAAAAAGGGATTTTTTTTTTTTCGAATAGTGACTATGAAAGTTGAAGGTAGTAAGTATTTACTAGACTGAACCATGCAGGAGTATGATATGTTCACTTTAACAGGAGACTTTTCATTCACCTGTTCTTCCAAACAAGCTATTTGAACACTGTTATAAGCAGAATGGGTAGCAGAGTCCATAGCACACATGCAGAGCTACTGTAAACAGGTTATCCAGAGGTCCAAAGTTTCTACAAGTGCATATTATTAGCTATGAAGCAATTAAGCTAGAATATCATTCATTTATGGTTTTCTATCTTGCTACTTTAATGTTATAGCTAGTCTCATCAGACAGCTCAATAAACTAGTGAAGCTCAGCAAAAAAAATGTTTTGTGTCAGAAAAAAGCTATGATATTGGTTTATCTGGGGTACAGTTAGGCCCTGCATTGTGTCACAGTGCCACCATATCTACAGCACTTCCATAGCCTAGGCATCTATATGATTACATTTAACTTGGTAGGCAAGAGATTTCATACCTGTTCAGTTAACTGCAGACATTCTGAGAGAGTCTTGTTGACTTTTTCATCATGTAACAAATGCTCTGAAGACCCTTCAGAGGAAGAGGGCTCCTGTGATTCACTTTTAGACTGGGTTCCCAGGGTTACCGACAGAGGTGGCCTCTTCATCACTCTCCCTCTGGTTGCCCTCCATTCAGCCAGGCGAACTCTGCATTTAAGAACATGAACCCTAATCAAATCAATTTCTGCAGTGATTGACACTAATTAGGGTAAGTCACAGACAGACATACCTCATGACAAGGTAAGTAACCACAGAAAGGACTAGGGGGCTGTCTCTTTAACCCAAGGGGCATACAGTTGCCACGCACATCTGTACAGAAACCTCAGAATCACAACTGACACCCCCGTTGCTACTTACCAGCCAAGCTGCACTACCTGAATCTCTCCTTTTCCAGAAGCAGCAAGGCCAAGACTACAAATTCTTTTTTCTGGAGAGGGTAAAAATGCATTTCCCATCTGTTGCTCTGTGGCATCTCTCTTCCATGACCACCATCACCCACCTCAGAGCAGAGGAAGATTCAAAGCTCTAAAGGAAGATTGTCTCTAAAGGCAACTGAGCAACTGTGGACACTAATACAGCATTTAAATCTGGAATTGATATTGTCTTTAAGTGCAATTCTGTTTTCATATCCATTCAATTTCCCTCTCTCCAAAGACCACCAAGTTTTGTTAAACTTTCTATAACTTTTAGATCACACAGCTTTGCCCCATCACCTAGGCTGTATTTGAAGCTGAAAAGTATTTCACTGACAAATGCTCTCCTTCTGCCTATGAATGTGCTCACTACTATAAGCATTTTGCACATTTTTGAGGTTTTTTGCAATGATGTACATGCAAAATTCACTTACAGGAGTATCTGCAACATGCTTACTGAGATTGTCACAACACTTTGCCTGGAACTGGAAACACACAAAGTTTTTATTCAAATTTGCACAGAACAAGCTGTAAGCCAAAAAGCTGCTGCATTTGGTCCAAATCCCAATTTTTCAGTGCAAGACTGCAGTTTTCAGACTACTGACTTTTGGTCAGCATGAAGTTCAAACACTGAGTTTAGTTTTCAATGCACTTACAAGAACGGACAGATCAGTTCATTTACAACCAAGCTGCAAGAGAATAATTCAGTTACCTTCTCTCTTCTGCTGACTCTTTTGGCAGAAGAGATTTGCTGTTGCCAATAGCTCTAGAATTCTGTCCTGACTTGGTAACAGGAAGAGCAGAAGTTGCTTTTCCTGTAGCTCCTGGTCTCGCATCTCCGCAAGAATCTTTTTTCACCACTGATGTTTTGTGGTCAGTGTTGTTTGACCCAGACCTCTGTGGCACTGAGCCTCTTCTATCAACCATCTTCTGGACTGCTACTTTTGTCAGCGAGACAGCAGATTTTGATTGTTGCTTATTCAGACTGGACTGTGAGCTAATAGCTTTGATGACTGATTTACTCTGGAATGGGAGGACACCTTTTGGTTTTCCAGAATTAGGGGAGTTTGTGACTTTGATGGTCTTCATAACTACATTGCAATTGCTTCTGGAAAAAGATCTTACAGATGGTTTAGTGGCAGAAACAAGAGGCTTCTTGTCTGTCAGGGACCTCTCCCCCACCTCACTTTTTGGTGCGTTTCGGAAGGAATTTATTTTTGATTGAATAACTTTGCCACGATATGTACCAAGCACAGGTTTCTTTAGTAGGCTAATATTTGAATTTTGTTTTTCTGCAATTAGTTGCTTCTCTTTTATGCTCCTGACATGCAGGAAAGACTGGCTAAGTGACCCATGCTGAGATTTTATTTCAGTGACTTCATCCTTGGAAGGAACATCAGGATTATAGTTTGTCCCCACTGCAGAATGTGCCAGAGTGATTGTAGAAGACTTTATAGGAACATTTTCTTCTAAGGTTCTGCTTGATTGATCCAATGAAAGATTATCAGCATTCTCTGCATCTCCCTGAAATAAAAGGCACATCCATGGAAGTGTTAGACATACATTCATGCTGCATGTTACTCATTTCTGAAAGGGGCCTTACATGCATTTACAGAAAGTCATCTGTTAATTCATACTTGATTCTTGGATGTGAATTCTGCAGTATCTGAACTCTGCCTGTAGGATATATACAGACACTAGACTCAAGGCAATTGTCAGTAATCACTTGCCAACACTACTTTCCAAAAAAAGATGGTCACAAATGCAAATTTCCTTTGGGTTGCATAGAGCCAGAAGCAATAGCCCACTTCAAATACCCCAGCACTGCACCCTTTCTCCCCTTAGTGCAGATGGCCTCTTCAGACAAAGTAGCAAATAAAGTCATTGAAAAAAGTATTAGCTTATGTTACCAGAAGAGAGAAATCTTCTTACTAATGAGCAATAAAATAAAATAGATGAAGAGCAGCAAATAGATAAAGAGACATTTGAATATTATCTCTTCCATTCTCCCTTAATACTTCTTGCAAATCTTGACTGTATGTTCTCAGCATAATCCTAGCTGAGAGGTCATGAGAAGCGGGATCTAGTGTTTTCCTTCAGAAGCTCTTCTACAGCACTAATGCAGCACTGTTCAAGCAGCAGCCTATGGAAAAGCGAAATATCCAAAGGCAGGAAAAAATACCAGAACAGCAACATGGAGGGTTGTAGAAACTGGAGTTTGTTGCTCATGTGGGCTAGGAAAGTACTGCTGCAGACAATATTGTTAACTTTTGAAGCCACTGTTTAGGATTTGGCTCAAAATCCAACTAAAGCAGAACATACCTTCCTTATAGGAGAATATCCTTGAATTGTAGGAAAACTGTACTACATCTTACTTCCTGAACTGCCATTCAGAATTAATTTTAGGTTTGATCAGGACTATACGAGCTGATGCACCCAAGAACTGGTTAGTTAAAGGACGCACCAGATTTGTCAATTCATTTTTAGAAGGACATGAGAAATTACCAGACCAAGCTGAACACAAGACCATCTAAGATGAAAACAGGTTGTTTAGTGTTTCCCCAACTTTGCTAAGATCTAGAGAGGAATACATATTTTGCTCTTCCTAGCAAAACATATGCACATATCAATTCTGGAAAAGTTGGACAAAATTATGCACCAGAAACTTTTCTTTAAACTCTGATGAAGTGTTCAGCATTGGCTTCTGAGCACAAAGTTTGCCAGCATTGTTTATGAGTTGGTGTGTTGGCATCTTTTGGGGGTTTGAGGAGGAGCAGAGGGGAAATCAACTAACTTAGTGCAATGCTAATACTGACAACAGAAGATTGCTCCTGAAAAAACTCCTGAAGACTAAATCTATCCAAGCAGCTCCAAAATCCCCAGGGTATGAAAACTGAACCCACTTTATTTGAGCAATAACTCTCTATGCCCTCTCCAGTCAGGTACAAATGAAGTTTCAGTATCTTGCACTGCATACAGTAATGTGGCAGTGCACTAAAAATGTTTAAGTGGAACACTGGAGCCACAAAAACAAGTGCCATCAGTATTTGAATATCAGTCTAAGAAAAGACTTACCATTTTTGACCTTGCAGATTTTAAGGTCTGTATTTTGTCTTGCAGTTTTCTGCTAGTTACTTTTCCAGTTCTGTTACTGCTTAAAAAAAAAAAAAAACAAAAGACAATTTAGATCATCTTACAAAATAACATATTTTTAAGAGTAAGTTAACATGCTCCAGGTGGAAGTCTACAGGCTCAATTCACACTGAAGCCTTTCTATTCAGCTTGTATTCTTCCCCCAGGAAAGATAAATTGCTAATCAAGTAGCATCAATAGTTGAGACTGCAGAGCATCGCTTCCTGCACCATTAAGAACTGACTAGCTTGGAGGGGAGAGCAAGGAACAGACCATATTTATTGCAGCCACCACTCATGTTTAAGGGGGAACAACCTGTCTTGTGTGACACATCTCCTAAAGAGGTCACATTCTGCACATACTGTATGTTTGGAGAGAGGAGAGGGGGAGAAGGAGCAAAAGGCTGCAGAAGCAAGAAGTGTTGGAGCTAGACAGATTATTGCAGTAATCCAAGGCCAGGCTGTTGAGGTGAATTGTGCAGAAATGCATGACACTGAGCTTCCAAAACCTGCACCTGGGCACCAGAGCTGTCAAGATCCCACTACACAGTGAGTACCAAACCCACCAATGCCAGAAGCTATGAAAAAAATCTAATGACAACTCAAAAGAGCATTTCATTTTCAAGTTAATTCCAATTCTTCCTCAAATGCTTCATGATCCAAACCCGCTTGGACGCAGTCCTGTGCCATGTGCTCTAGATGACCCTGCGTGTGCAGGGGGGTTGGACTAGATGATCTCTAGAGGTCCCTTCCAACCTTAAGCATTCTGTGATTCTATGATACAACATATAGAACAAGTAGCACAAGCTGCCCACAGCTTAAAATTAATAGTAATATTCTGGGTAGCAGCTAATGTCTTTGTATCAGATTTTGTTCTGGAAACTAATTGCATTGAAAAGGAAGGTAAATGTATTCAGGTATTTCTGAATGCTGGAGAAAGCTTTTTATATCATGGTATCACTTTTTTCACACCTATGTTGCAGAGTCAGTTAAGGGAACTGAACAGAAAAGCCAGTCTTAAGGCCAGCCCACAGTGCAGGTCAGTAACAGCTTCCAGAAAGCAAAATATCTGCAAAATAAAAGCATTAGTCATGACCACACCTAACAGCAAGTTAACTGAAAGCTATAAATAGCCCAGGAATTCGATAGCCAGGGAAGGAACTGAATGAAAACAAGGAAAAGGGTTGAAGTAGACCAGACACTAAATTAAGATGGCTATTGCTACAAGGCATGCAGTTTGCACCGATTTTCTAGTACAAAATAGCCTTCTACAACATGAAAACAACTGCCTACATAGTGTGTCAGAGGGTATTTATCCTCAGCATTTATGTGTATTTTATGTTCAAAAGTCATTGCCCAGGCAGATTTATAGCATGAAGTGGTTTCACCCACTGTTGAACATGAGACCATGACACTTCAAATATGTAAAGTAACAAGGGTCCAAATGGATGAACACAAACTTCACACTGCAATTCACCATTTGCAGACAGATTAAGAGTGACAAAGCTGCACCAGGAAGTAACATTACAGCTAGAATCCTCTTTGGTGCTTCACACCACTGTTTCCCAAGGAAGCTTCAATTGCTTATGTGGAAGTTTTATACTAAGGAAATATTTAGCCAAACTTTGGCCAACAGCAAGAAGCTTTAATTACAACAATAAAAAGTTAGCAAGTACAATTGACTGTTGAGAGATAGTCCATACTGTTCTAACAAAATATTATTACTACCTGCTCACCCATTGCACAGGCTGGGTTCAATTACAGTACATTTATTTTTAACAGAAGTTAGGCCCCTGGTATCAGTACTAATGGTAGGATTAGTAACTACTAAGTGTTTTGAAGAGGAGTAAAACAGACACAGTGAACAGACAGCACAGCCTGCATAGAAGCTAGGGACATTGTTTATTAGTAGAATGAAAGTTAAAGGCAAGCAGTGGCCATGAAATTTCATAAAGGAACAAGATCTATAGGGGAAAGCAGGATATTACCTGAAAGATGCCTGGTTTTCTTGAATGCACACACCAGAAAAGGTCTTTTTTCTTGACAGATATTCTTCAACTTTTTGTCTTCTTTGCTCTAGCGAATTAAAAACATCATATTAATTTGTCTTCATTCTCACCTCAGTTATTAGTTCAAACAGTCTCTTAAGACAGGAGGTGTGTTTAGGAAAGTACCAAGACATTATCAAACTCAGACTGGTTAGGAAAGTCTTCAGTTTAACATTCACATCTTAACAACATCCCATACATTCTTCCATTTCTTGAGAAAGGCTAAGTGCAAAGTTAACAGTGAAATTAGAGCAAATCTGTACACAGCAGATGCTTGGCTACACTAACTAGTAATCTAAAAGAACATCTGATTGGCAACAGGAAGAAGGTAGGCTTTCCCACCTTGTGGGCCTGTCTAATGGTTCACACACACAGTTGGTTCAGCAAGCACTTTCCACGTGTCATAGCTGTAAGGCAAGCATTGCACAGATGGAAAACAACAAGGGCATCCACACAAATGCTGGACCAACAGCAGCAGTGTGAACAGTGCAGGACAGTCCTGAAAGGGCTCTTAAACCTGCAGTCTTTGTTTTAACACAGAAAATCATTCCAGAAAAGGACACTATTTCCCTTTTCTCTGCTGGTTTCCTGCACAGCAGTCACTATCAGACTGTCATTGTGGAACTTCTGCAGAGACCTTTCTTCCCCCGAGGGAGCTGGAAGCAGCTGGAAGAGGACAGCCCTCAAATCAAAGGGTTAAAGCAGTCACACAGCCAGTCTTGGTAGTGAGGACTTTCAGTCTTCAACTGTTTCACATGCAGGGGGATGGCAGAGCAGAACATTAACAGGAGCCTCTCTGAGCAGCACTTTCTTCACAGCGTTCAGGAACTTGTAGCTTTGCACCATCCTCCACCATGAACAGGCTCACTTATCCCTGTAAGTTTTCTTCAGGGAATTAGCAGATCAAGCTGAACTTCCTTAGCAGCCCCCTCCTGAGCCTTTCTGCTTGCCTTGCTCACCACTCAGTTCACACTTAAGAATCATAGAATCACTGAAGTTGGAAGGGACAAGATCCCTTAAAGACTAAGATGCTCTGTATTATTCAAATTTAGACTCTGGAAATTGCAAAAGTGTTACACAAATGTTAGACTTTTAAAGCAGGGGCAGGGGGGAGGGACAGGGGACAGACACTTCACTGTGCAGTTCCACAGTAATTTTTTTTTGTCCCACAGAACATGGCAAGTATCCTTAAGGCCTCCTCCTAGCTTGGGAGGATCCAAAAGGGCAAGTTCTCATGCACTGTCATACCAAAGCCTGAACCACTGAACTAGGAGTGGACTGAAACTTGGGCTTACTGCAATGATGAAGATGATTTATGAAGCTGGACCAATTCTGCTGCTGAAGAGCCAGGCACATGACTAATTTGTTGGCTACCTGTGCCTAGTGACAACAATAAACAACACCTCAAAGAAGTTACAGAAGAATCATTCAGAGCTGATGACAACTGTGCTTAAGTTCAGGCAAATTTGGAAAGCAGAGCTTGTTTCATTGTGTGTTTGGAGGAGACCTGGTTTTCCCAATGCAAGGAAACCTCTGTGAGGTTCTTGTCAACATGCACCAAGCTTGCTGCATCAATTCTGTTCTTAGATGAGCTTTAAGTACTGAGGGAGAATGTTGCTGAGTGTTTGTATTATCTGAGTATTAGTTTTAGTAGTAGCTTGTATTCAGCTTCTTTTACTTCATAAACATAAATCAGCTTTTATAGAGGCTGTTATTTAAAAGTACTTTTATACTGATTAATCAAAGTCTGGGGTCTTTTTCAACTGTCGGGAGAGAAGTTTCTGTTATTATTCAACTAACAAAAAGCAAAGGTGCTTAAAAGAAGATAAAGACTTTGCTTATGTGCTCAGTGCACTTGGATGATCAAGCAGAAGGGTCAGTAACAGCACAAATGCAGCCAACATTACCATGCACCATAGCTGAGCCCAAGTGTCCTAAGGGGCAAAATTATGGGCTATTCAGGATGACTTACATGGTTTCATTTGGGAATTTGCAAAGCGAAGTGCTACAGGGCATCGGATGCATCTATTTGAAAAATAAAAGGTTGCCCTTTTCATCTCACACACATAGGGCCGTCACTCACGCCCAGCACCCCAAGAGGGTGACCACAGGGCCAGGGGACACTGGCCTGGGATGTGACACACTCCTAGCCTGCCGGGGCACCACATTGCCCCAGAGCAGAGACACCCACACGTACTGCAGGCAAATTAACATCAAGACAAAACTGCACGGGATTTATTCTGGAATTCAGCCCTAGGACGAGGGGCTGGCCTTTCACAAACTCGCAGCTTTGTTTGGGTGCGAATTAACCGTAGGAAGAAAGCCTTATGTCCTCCCAGCGCGATGCTCCGGGCGACCTTCCCGCACGGCAGCACTCACCACCCGCTGCTCCTTCAGCAAGGAGCAGC